TGTAGTTGTAGTTGTAGTTGTTGTTCATTGTTCAGCAACAGTTGCTCACTGTCCCTGTTTGCGATTTCCTTAGTTCTAGTGTCTGCTGGCGCACGTAGACCTTCCTTGTTGTGTTTTCTGATGTTTTCTCCGCTCCAACTCTGTGCACATCTATGCCTTTGCTTGTATGTAGCTCTTTCCGTGCATCGGTCCGAGTAGGTTTAGTGTATACTGCGTACATGCCGAATTGAAAAACCCAAGCAGGAGTAGCATTCAAGAGCACGCAGGAAATCGTAAAGCCCAGAGCCTCAATCACCTTCAGGTTGCAGCGGGCTTGCACGTCCCTCATGGATCCCGCCAAGAATTCGTCGCCTTACCAGAAGGCGAGTGTTTGAGTCAGGGGTGATGGGATCGGATTTGGGATTCCGGCACGGGATTCCAGCTTCGAGGCGGCTGTCACGCTAAGAAGACTCACGACGGTGGCAAGCCCCAAGGCCCTGGGCCACTGGCCAAAGACATTGTTACAGCTCATTTTTTGTGGGAAGTCTTGCTTTGTGGGACATGGCACGGCCGCAGGGATGACCAGGAATGGAATCACAGCTTATGTCTTCGGGGCTGAGGGTTGCGGCTCGCAGGTTCGTGCAGCTTGGACGGCCATAGTAGCAGCTAAAGTTGATGATAAGGAGATCGAGGCTGTTGATAGATTTGTTCAGGTCCGGGATTCGGGATGGCTGTGCAGCATTGCCAAAGGTCCATGTGCATTGCTTGAACCCGAAGTCCATTACGCAGAACCAGCCTGCAGCTTAGATTCTGAATGGCTTCGACGTGGGAATGTGTTTAGAAGCTTAGTGTGTTTCGTTGGCACTGACTGTTCGGATTCGTTCTTCGCGGATTTAGCCTGAAGCCTAGGCTCTACGGCTCCTTTGATGAGATCACTCGCGAGTGGTCTGATGGCGTCGCTGCCGAGGACGATAGTTCGGGAACGGGAGAATCTTCCGTCTACTCTTGTTTCTACATGTGCGATCTCAAGATGAGGTTTTTTGTGAGTACGAGCCTTGGTCCACACCCTGGGCAGGAGATCCGCAATGCCACTCGGGATGCCGGACAGCCGGACCATCACTGGGCCCGTGCCTGAGATCGCTGCTCCTGTCATCCGGTCGCTGATCTGAGGCCCTAGATAAGTTCCTACAGGTAGTAGGTCAGAGTTATCAGGGGGTTATGAAGCTAGACACTACATGAGGATTATCGGTCAAGACTCCTGTGTTGCAAGCGCAGTGCAGCGAAGGCAAGGCGACTCGTTCAGGAAGTGAGACTCTCTCGGCAAGCCGAAGATGCCAGACTGGAAGAGCCAGCCATGGCTTGAACAGCATGGTCCAGGCGGATCGTGCATCTTGCTGCACATCACCGAGGTGATGTTTGATGGACCTGTGGATGCACTGTGGATCGAGAAGCTCGGAAGCAAGTAATTCCTTGGAATAGGCCACGCGCTTTGTGTGAATTTTTCTGCTGTGAGGGATGCATGACTCGAGCATGGTGCACTCGTGTAGCATTCCCAGATGTGCCCAGAAATCAAACTGTCGCATACGGCGTGTCTAGTGTTGCAGCAGAGAGCAACTCAGGAGCATGAACACAGTGTTGGACGACAACAAGAAGCTCTGTCTCGTGAGTGGAGAGATCATTGTGGGATCCTTACAAGCACATGGGAAACGAGGATGTCCACGGCCAGTTTCGCTTGAGGCTTAAACTGACTAAGCTAACTGTCACTATTTTATCTGTACAGGAGTCAGGAGAGTGCGAGTACTCTGCTGAACCTACCTCCATCTACTACATTTATGAACTTCTCCGACCAATGCTCACAACGACCAAACACACTACACTACACCCAAAGCATGCGAAATCATCCAGCCGAGTAGGCGAGTACTGGTTGCGCCAGCTGTAGATGTGTAATACAAACGTCTTCCACTACCCTTTTGTGCCTCCTTGTTAGAGCGGTTCGAGGAATTGTGTCATCGTTCGTCGTTGACCTGGTGATGACGGCCGTAAACAGCCTTCTTCATCCTCGAGCAACATTGTCCGACCCCGTCAACTCACCAAAGCCTGCACAGTAGAAGCCCAGCAGATGACGCGACCCAGAGTCCAGCACCAAAATTTGAGGCCCTCACCCCACAGATGCGCATGATGTTCGAAGTCGAGGATGGCTTGCAGGGCGTCTTAGGGGTTCAGGTTTGGATTCAGGGCTCCTGCTTCATCCTTTGTAGAGAGATGAGACAGCAATATACAGATTGCAGCACCTGAAGTCGTTCCGCATCCTACCGCACTTGAAGGATCGAAGGCACGAAGCCAGCAGAGCATTGAATTGCGAATGAGACGAAGTCAGGAGGCAAGTGCGCACAGTGTAATCCGAAAGTCGCAGAGTCCTCAGAAGGCCCCTCGACCCTAACCCTCGCACCATCGAGAAGTCAAGCCCTCCGAAGATCAGTCTGCAGCCTCCACTTGTGGAGGACTTGGAAGTGGCTTCTCCTGCTACAGTCTCTCGCTGCGGCAGCTTAGACGCATTGGCCCTTATGCGGGTGTTTGCCAGAAGCATACTGCAAGTGTCCAAGCGTTCTTGTGCTTGGGACCTGCAGCGCTGGGTTCCGCAGTCAACAAATTGGCAATGTTTGCAGGCCTGTGGCCTGCTGGTGGACAGGGTCCGGCCAATGATGCAGTGGCAACCAAATCTAGAGCTGATTCTCAATTGAATTCTCCCAGCTCCAGTACTTCGCCGCCGTTTAGCCCAGGCATGATCTACATGGAACCGGAGAGCTTAGGCCGGCAAAGGGACTCAGTCGGATGAAGGGGAGGTGGTTCGTGGTTTAGTGTTTGCTGTAGTGGCCTTTGTGAGTTTAGAATTGTTACTCTGAGGGCTCGGGTGGGGCAGCATATCAAGGCAGCATCACAAACCTCCCGCCCCAGTGCTTTGAACGAGCACGGCGAGGCGACAACACCGTATCCAAGCAACCGACTGCTAGCAACGACTGTGCGTGCATTATGCGAATCACACATCCTCAAATTCTGACTGGCAGTGACCACAAAAGAGCCTGCAACAAAGGACTCAACATCTAGCATTCAAACGTATAAATCCTGAGCCCCTACCCTACACCCTCAGCCTCACTAAATTCCCGGCTCTTGAAACCAGAATCAACCCCTCGACCCCAAACTAAGCGAGCTTTGATTTCCGCCATGAACAGGCTTCCAGCCTCTCTTTGACTCCTGGCTCGCCGCGCTGCCGGAGACTTTCAACTTTCAGTGCGGGCCCCATTGATGTTCAAGAGTTCCAGGTCCGGATGGTAGGGCCAAGAGTCAAGAGGGTCTTCAGAACAAGGTCTAAGGTTGAAGGCGGTTTAGAGTTTGGAGGTTGCGGAGTGGTTTCGAAGAGTATGTCGGGGTCGTAGAGCCAGGCTCTTTGTGCTTTTCTGGTAGATGTCCTCGCCTTTCGGAGGCTCCCAGATTTAGTGAGAACCAGACCATGGACCATCCAAAACAGGTACCGGTTATCTTCTCTGCATTTTTCCATGTTGCGGCCTCAAGCAGTCTGCAGGTCCCTTTAGAGTTCAAGCTCGCAACAGTCGGCCTGCCCAAGCGCTGTGATATGGGCGCCATTGCTCCCGGTGCCGGCAGACGGCCTGGGCTGACTGCACAAAATCGATGCAAACCCAGCCTTATGTCACGGCTTCCTGCCTGAGCAGACCCCAGTGCCGGTGCCCATCCGGACTCTTTGGCCCAGAGTCTGCTCCTGGCGGGCGCAACCTAGACCTTGGTACCTCACCCTGCCTGGTACTCGGCTTTCTGGCTGCCCTGCACCGCCCTCGTCGAGCCCTGGGTGCTTGCATGCAAGCAGCTTCTGATGTCGTTCATTCCCATGAAGGCTAAAGCAATGCATCGGTGATGTTTATAGTTCTGCTTATCCGAAGTATTTGTTGGTCAAAACCAGGGGTATCATCTATGCTGCTAGCAAAAAGAAGACCTCATAAGGAAGAGCTCATGGTGCTTCAAGACAGCGCGCAGAAGCCTCAGAAGGCGCAGCTTCCGTCCTGCCCGCAGAGGACTACAAATCCGACCTTCGCCTGTCCCCCTACCGGGCTGACGTGGTCACACAGAAAGGGCAGGTCCAGTACGAACCTTGGCTTCATTGGTGTTCAGTTTCGAACCACAGAGTGCCTAAAGAATGCCTAAAGTTCTAAAGTCTGAGTCTGAAGCGCAGGAATCTGAGCTGCGAGAGAAGGCCCTCTCGGAGCAAGGCCTTGCCCTGGACACGCCCTGCAAGTGCGACGTGCACTACAGCTGGGCCTGCGACACGGCAAGGACGGATTATGAAGCCAACCCAACTAAGAGGAAAGCAGGTGCAGAATACAAACTCTTATAATCAAGTTTGGACAGACAGTAGACGCACTGACGCTATAATCTAGCTGCTATATCGCGGACCAGGCCAGCATGTGTTTGACAGACGCCCTGGCTGGCTTTCGCTCTGGAAGAAGAACTCCTTCAAGCGATGCACATCCTGGCTACAACTCTAGTTAGTCAGAAAAAGTCGCGCTGGCTGTGTCTAGTCAACCCCATCTCGTCGAACGCCATCCGCAGCATGAACTTTTCTCTCAGGCCAAGAACAAGAAAACATGATATACACAGCCGACGTAAACGACCTAGAATGCCAAAGGGCCATCGCGACATGCCTTCACCCGGACAATCACATTCCGTTTCTGAGGTTTGGAGCGGCTGAGCCAGGCCAAGGACTCCTCGGACCTTTTGTCGTAAGTATGTGTCTTGGGAATCCCGAGGATACAGGTTTCAGGGACGGAGTTAAAAGTCTTCGGAAAGCCTTACGCAGCTGTAGATGTGGCCGTGTGGTGCATGTTTGTGTCGAAGACAAACCCAATAGCATGAACATTGGCATTTTCATGCAGCATGTATATCAGTGGAACAGAGTTGCGGAGACCGAAGATCAGTAATGAGTCGGACAATCTTAGTCTGCCATTTCTGCAGGCGGATATCCCGTGAATACTGCAGCATCATTTTTCTTGCTGACCGTGGAGATCGGTTCTTGTTATTGAACTTCTTCTTTTTAGAGTTATGCGATTGAAACTGAATTTGTTGACTGGAACTGCTGACGTCATTAAACACGGACTGTCGCGACTCTGCTGCTTCTACTTTTGCAATCCTCTCACTACTACCTTTTCCAGCACTGCTGACTGCTACGAATTGCGACATACCGCGACTACTGTTTGTCGTTCTTGCCTCTAGTGACTCTAGTGTCGTGCAAATCGCCCACAGATGGCACGACCCCAGGGCCCCAGGTCTCAAATCCATGTCTGGACCATTGTCGCCGTCATCTTGATGCTCAGAGTCATACCGTGTATCATGTGCATCGCCATCTTTATATTATTTTCTGATCACCGTCACCTTCATGGAAGGTCAGCATTTCAACATCGTCATCACCAACTCTTCTCATCTCCTCATAGTCACTGCGCTGTGCAGCCGCTTAACTACCTATCAAGCGAGGACCTCGGCCGCCGGGTCACAGTTGGCAGCGTGCTGCTCCCATCATCGGCTTCGGAAGCCGAGACAAAGCCCCTCGGCTCCTTTCGAGAAGCTCAGGTTTGAACCACATTCAGGGCTTTCTAAGCCGGTTGACCGTTGTGCATCGTAGGATTCCGTGAAGTGTTTGGGTTCTGCGATGTTTTCATTGCAGCTCCCCCGCGGTCTTTCCGAGCCCGGGTGACCTTCTTCAAAGTGCAGGGACTCCGGAGTTTCCGGTGTTGTGTTGTGGCTCCAATGTCCAGGCGCCTACAAAAAGAAGGAGTGCTGAAAAGCCTCTTGACAACGATAAGCCTCAAGCATGTTACTCAGTCAGTTGACACTCTGAGCTGTTTCAAACTCGAGAACGCGGCATCTCTAGCTGTGTTTGGCAGCCCCCGGACCCCAACAGAGCACAGCAGCTGCTTCGAGCTGTTTGGGCCTCCCAGGTTTCACGGCACGTCGTGGTCGTCCCGGAGAACATTAAAGCCGAAAGCCTGTAAAAGACCTGAAGCCTCGAACCCTAAGGGCCCTAAGGACCCTGCACATAGGCTATCGCTGCGCTGCTCGGAGTCAGTCTTCAAGGCACGAGGAAACCTGATCGATGCCGGGCTGGCGCTGAAGGGATCCCGGAAGCTCGGCCAATCCAATCCGGACACAGTTCGACTTGAATCTACAGTTCTTTTGCGCATAAGTAGCTTGTCAGTTTGGCGTGTGTGTTGCATGGCAGGGGCAGGCTGGCATGGCCAGCCCAACCGGTCCCAACCCCAAACACTCGAAGGAATGCAATGACCCTTGTTGGGGATATTTTTCAGTATCTCGCGCATCTTATTGGTTCAGCTCTTAATACCTCCAGGTGAACTCTGATCCAGAACAACTTGCAGATCGAAGATGCCTTAGATTCAGATTACAGAGGCAGAAGCTCAGACTTAATGTGCCACTGACAAAGTCAAAAGGAATCACAGGGGTGATGCACACTTCGGCTGTGTTCAGTCTCAGTGCCCCCAGGAAGAACTTTTGCCGCTTCGTCGTGGCGTATCCCATGTCAAAGTGCTTGCACGACCTGTCGCCACCTTTCTTGGTGATCGACCAGGCACCGCATGGGTATGATTCCGTTCAATGTGTAGACAGACCTAACCTATGAGATGTTGGATCAGGCACTGCAGGAACTCTGCAGATGTCTGCTTCTGGACCAAGCGATTGCTAGCCTAGTTTTCTTCCTGCATCAAGAATCGAAACCCACAGACTAACACTTCTGTGAGCAATGGCCGCGTCGCCTTGCTTCCTGAATTCTGTTGCATGCTTTCTGGGCAGACGCGGTTTTTGGCACCCCGAGTCCCTACAATCTTGTATCTTGGCACTTCCAGCCAGCCGCATCCTAGCAACTAGTAGTTTGAACGCCGGAATGCTGAAGGTCAGTTCCAGCCACAGCTTGGGGCAAATTTTGCGCACAGCCTTCCACTTCGGGATCGACTCCGTGGTGCTCTCAGAGGCTAAGTGCCGGGCTCAAGGGTGGCTGTCAGGTAAGTTTTTGAAGCGAGCAATCCTTTTGCCTCGCTGCCCGTGCCATGCTATCGTCTGCCCTGGGACATGTTGCCCCGCAACTTTCTCCTATGTGACAAGTCAGTTTTCAGGTGAACTGGAGAAGCCATGATTTTACAGTGTAGGTGGCTGTATCAATCCTTACCCGCACACGACCAACCTTCCTGTAGGTGAGGGCCTGTTGCCTGCACCCAACAGAAGCTCCTGCAACAGCTAACTGTGAATTCGACTAGACTCTATTCACACAACTGGTGTGACACTGGTGTGTTTGTTTGGAATCAGTGTTGGCCAGATTCTCAATAATAAGAGTGGCAGCAGTTTCATCGAACATATAGGCTTACCAGAGCGTGGTGTGAGCCCTCGGTGCTGCAAGTCCGGAAACTCCGTGAACCGCTTTACAACCTTTGCAAGCCCGTTCCTTTCACAGCCCGCTCCTCTACTTTGGAAGGGCGCATGGGCCTTCATGGACGGCCGAGCGTTCCGGGTCTCCATGGGCTGGGCCTATCACTTGGACTTTCACGTGGCAGAGTCCTTAAGTGCCCCGTCTCACATGAGCATGTCGTTCAGTAGAATGCGGAAATTTCTTTTCAATAAAGCCCCCCCCCTGGCCCTGGACTGCTTTCATGAACTCCACAGCGTGGAGACCCTTGGAGCCCTCCTGATGGACCCCTTGGAGGCGCCGTCTGCTCAGAGCTGGAGAGTGGTAAGGGCCTGGAGCTTTATGCCTTCAGCGAGTCGCCCTCCGTGCCGGATGTGAAGGCTGCGCCCACAAGATTCAAAGTTTGAAGTACACAGTATTGACCTGCAGAAGACACAAGCAACTAGTACACTGCACCTTAGTGTTTCTCTGGCAATGCACAGGGAGGTCGAAGCTATATTACTATATTACTATATACCGTGCGCTGAACCAGGCTGCGTGAGCGAGAAAGCCACAAAGCGCGGAGCCCTTTCGATGCAGGCGCAGCCGGCAGAAGCCAGGAATTGGGCCCTCCTGCTTGGCTGCCAAGACCACCAGGCCGGCAGGCTGCAGCAGGCGTTGATCACTGTTGTTGACAAGGGGCAGCGAGCAGAAGGGCAAGGGCGGAAGAACCGAACAAAAGGTGCTCACAGACCCGACACGGAAGCGAAGGCCCAGAATGCGGGGTTCAATCTGGGAGATCACAAGACCAGACCTTCGAATTCAGCACTTCTAC